GACAGAATATGGCATCTTCATAAAATCATGGCTATTTAGTCACTGCTTTCATTTTTATTAGCAAACGGTATTGCCAATAGTATCACATTGAGTAGCTTGATAGATTTGTCAGCAATAACAAAACAAATTTATAGCAAAACTGGAGCTTATTCTTGATCTCTCCCACTAGGAAATGCAGATTTTTAAAATTTTATCTCAAGTAGCCACATAAAATGTTGAATAAAAAAAGAAATAGTCTTTTATAGATTAAAGGATTGCCTGTGTGGCCCTACATTGCAGCACATAAACTAGACTGTACAACTACAGAGCTAATATTTTAGATTCTAAATTAAATTCTATAATAAAATAAAACAGGTTTTAATGGGACATTATATCTATTATTAGTTCAAAATGCACCCTTTTCTTTCTCCAAATTGCTATGTTTTGCCTGAACTTCAAAAGTCTTTGGGACTCAAGGAAATCTTCACTATTAAAAAAAAACGATATCATCGTTTTATAGTATCTCAAACTCTAAAAGAACATCTAATAGAAGTTTTTTTTTTAATGTGGAAATCTTAAACACCTCATTCTCAACTAAGAATTTGTGTATCTCAAATTATGTGCATCTCATTGTTTTCCTTTATAAAAGTATTCATGGAATTTCATTAGCTTTAGTCTTTTTTCATTGCATTATTTTCTCCTTTTTGGATAATATCACACAATGGTCTCACCACAAGAGTTTATTAATATGATATGTTCCAGAAATGCAACCCAGGAAAATCATAGAAATAAATGAAGTACTACTTGTTTAGACAACTGATATTTATTTCTAGTAAATGCTTTTTGGAACCTGCAAACTATTCCTCCATTTTATATTTTTCTAACAATTTGATGATAAAAACATAGAAAATAAACATAAGCTATTTCTAAATCTCAGAAAAACTTGTTGGCTGGGATACAAGCTGTCCAATTCTTTCTTTTTTTTTTTTTTTTGAGACAGAGTCTCACTGTGTTGCCTGGGCTAGAGTGCCGTGGCATCAGCCTAGCTCACAGCAACCTCAAACTCCTGGGCTCAAGCAATCCTTCTGCCTCAGCCTCCCGAGTAGCTGGGACTACAGGCATGCGCCACCATGCCCGGCTAATTTTTTCTATATATTTTTAGTTATCCGATTAATTTTTAGTAGAGACGGGGTCTCGCTCTTGCTCAGGCTGGTCTCGAACTCCTGAGCTCAAACAATCCGCCCGCCTCAGCCTCCCAGAGTACTAGGATTACAGGCGTGAGCCACCGCGCCCAGCCCAAGCTGTCCAATTCTTCATGTACACAGGGAATGTTCAATAAATGTGTCTAGTTTATAATCTTAATGCTAAAGGGTTGCTTCTCTTAGCATAGGCAGTTACTTAATTTTTTACATAAAGTATAATTTTCTTCACTCCAGAATGTTTAGATTAATGTATCATTATTATTTTAAGTATAATACACATTCATTGAAAAAAAGTCAGGTTTTTGTATCTGCAGTTTACATTCCAGGATCTTGTGACTACGAAATAATTCACCATCTGGTACTGATATGGTTAGATAATAACCTAGTAAAATTTGGGGTATGATGTTTACAAATAATGGAAAGATCTTGCTGTAGCAGGTTTTTTTTTTTTTTTTATCAGTGGAAACAGTGCTTAGTTTTTAAGGGCTTTTTTACCCCTGCATTGTTCTTCCTAAATGTACTTCCCATACATTGCTGCAATTTGAAATCTTTGAGCAAAGTACCACGTATAGCAGCGATCTCCAACTTTTTTGGCACCAGGACCGGTTTCGTGGAAGACAATGTTTCCACGGACGGAGGTAGGAATGATTTCTGGCTAATTTAAGTACATTACATTTATTGTGCAGTCAAACCTCTCTGCTAATAACAATCTGTATTTACAGCCCCTCCCCAATGCTAGCATCACCACCTCAGCTCCACCTCAGATCATCAGGCATTAGATTCTCATAAGGAGGGCAACCTAGATCCCTGCCATGCGCCATTTACAGTAGGATTCACACTTCTGTGAGAATCTAATGCCACTGATGATCTGACAGGAGGCAGAGCTCAGGTAGTGATGCAAGGGATGGGGAGTGGCTATAAATACAGATGAAGCTTCGCTCACTCACCGCTGCTCATCTCCTGCTGTGGGGCCAGTTCCTAATAGGCCATGGACCAGTACTCATCAATGGCCTGGGCATTGGGGACTGCAGATGTATAGGACAGTCAAATTGGAGGCTCTTACAAGTAGCTAAGGATTCCCACAGCCTCCATGTACTGTTTCTGGATGCAGGCATGGAACCAGATAACTGCATTGACTCCTAGCCTTGAAGTTTGGGACTCCAGGGACCTCTTCATTCTAGTGAGTTATACTAGCATGTTACTTAATAACTCTCCATACACAGAGAATATGCACTTGCACATTATCTCCTGCTTCCTATTATCTTAATAAGTTATTTAAAGGCTTTTAATTCTTTGTGGACCAATTTATGAATTACATATATTTTTATAGTTTGGATATAGTTATATCAATTTCTATCCTCTGTACATTGATTTCAGACTTACTTGCAACCATCAGAATTCTTATTATTTCTTCATAGCAGTTTGATGCAATAAATTCTCCACATCTTTTAAGGGCAAATGTATAAAAATAGCTAGGGCCTTTAAACTTTTGGAAAACAGTACTTTTAAGAGAACACACACAAATCCTTAACCATCTAAATGAAACATTTTAATTTTATATATCATATTTTTTTAAAGATGTCTTTTAACATCTTTAACCCACTTCTTACCATTTAGCCCAATTCTTGATCTCTTCTAAATTATCTTTCTCTATTTTCATTTCACAATAAATCCTTTATCTATTATTTAAGGAGAAATGGCCTTACAGACTACTTCAAGATTTTTCCTTGAAATGTGTGATTTAAAAGTACCATAACAAGTAATTCAGAAGTTTATGTGGTAAGATAACATAAAGAAATAAGCAGGCATACCACACTTATTTCTCCAAAAGCCACACCATCAACACCACCCATTGACAACCACTTTAAACAATCTGGTAAATCAATCCAAAATTAAATTAATCTTTTATAAATTCATACTGGATTTAACAAGTTGATCCAATTTATCGATGGAAAACTGTCTCTAACAATTACTGAAATTTCAGATTTAGAAGTGAAACATTCCATTAGCTATCTCTTGCCACATAATGTTACACTTTGTTCCTTTACTTTCTCTCACCCTCTTAAGAAACAGGGACTTTATTATGTAGTCTCATTTCACATCCTAACTTCAGTCACTTGGGTTTGGAGAACATGGTTTTTACCAAGGTTAAAAGACCTAGCTCTGCTGGGTGCGGTGGCTCACGCCTGTAATCCCAGCACTCTGGGAGGCCGAGGCGGGTGGATTGTTTGAGCTCAGGAGTTCTAGACCAGCCTGAGCAAGAGCGAGACCCTGTCTCTACTAAAAAAAAAATAGAAAGAAATTATCTGGACAACTAAAAATATATAGAAAAAATTAGCCGGCCCTGGTGGCGCATGTCTGTAGTCCCAGCTACTCGGGAGGCTGAGGCAGTAGGATCGCTTGAGCCCAGGAGTGTGAGGTTGCTGTGAGCTAGGCTAACGCCAAGGCACTCACTCTAGCCAGGGCAACAGAGTGAGACTCTGTTTCAAAAAAAAAAAAGACCTAGCTCTATCTATTGCTTACAACTAAGCACCTAAAAAATTCTCTGCAAATTTTAATTCTCAAAACATCTTTTGGGATAAAAAGTATTTCTTGTCTTCAAAGATTAGAAAACTGAGTAGAACGATTTACTGATTTAGGTCATCATGATGTGATTGCTAAAGCTGCAATAAACATGAAATCTGGATTTCCAGCAAGACTTCTTAGATTTAATCTAAATGATGACTTCTGTAGTCTGTCAAAGTTCAAGAGACCACTCTCAATTTTTTAACTGTTCAGAAGAATGGCCTTATCATTTTCTTTGGCCAGAAAGTAGCTACAAGATGATAAATTTGCCAGTACTTTCATAGTTGCTTTTTGTTTTAAGACAGGAAAGGGTGCTTTCTGACTTTATAGTTGTTCATGGCCCAGTCCAAACCATATAACACCTTGGCTCCAACTAAGAGTTTTAGAATAAACAAAAGGAAGAACTGTAACTATTTAACGCAGTAGGTTCTACATTTATGGAGCCCGTAAGCTGATTTCGTGCTGAAAGTAAAAACAGTCCAAGAGTTTAAATGAACTCTTCCAGCCTGGAATCACAGCAAATTCGGGAAATTTAGGAATATGTTGGTAACCCCTAATCTTTTTTTAAACTGACTTCACCCAGGGCAAGTAACTATCCCGTGATGTCGTTGTCGGAGACAGAATTTCTGGCTGAAAAATCATTTTTCTGACTCAATCTGGCTTGCTGTTCTTGATTAATCATCCCCATTTCTCTCGACATTTCACTCCTCTGACTATAATGGTCAACTTTTTTTTTCAGGACTTTTTAAGTGATTCTGTTACTCCAGCCGTATCCCTCTTTATTCTATCTAAAACCCCCAACCCCCATTCCCACCGCCCTCGTTTCACTAAGATTTTGCTAAACATTAGACGCAGCACGTGACCTCCAGTCTTTCAGTGTCTCATAACAAACCGATATAAAAACATTTGGTGAGCGCAACTGTAAGATTCTCTTGGCTTGGAATTTAAAATTGTCTTTCGCTCTTCAACATGTAAAGAACCTTCAGCGCAAATTTTAAATTTAAAAATTTTAAATAAAGAAACCGCTCCCCTTTTTTAACCTTTAGGCCCGCCCACCGCCTCCCCCCACCTCAGGCCTCCACGCGAAACTGCAGGAAACCAGAGGGGGGGCGGGGCGGTGACGTCACGACGCCGGTGCGTCACGGAACGGCGGCGGCTGCGGCGCTGGCGGTGGCTGCGGCAGCGGCGGCATTTTAGTCGGCAGCGGCGGCGGCCACGGGGCTGCTGCTCCTCCCAGCATCCCTGGCGCGGCCATTTCAGCCCCATCTTGGCCGAGGGGAGGGAGCTGCAGCCGCCGCTTCAGCAGTTTGAATTTCAGTTTTCTCTTGGTACGAATCCGGCGCACCAAGGAGGAGCCGAAGAAGCAACCACCGCTACCTCACACAGCGGAGCGCCTCCGCTCGCTGGCCTGCGGTCTGCCGCCGCCCCTCACTCTCTCAAGAGCCGCGAGGGGAGGCCGAGACCGCCGCCGCCGCCGCCCGCGGGGGTGGCTCCCCCTGTAAGGGGAGGACCGAGCCGGCTTTCCCCTCCCCCAGAGCGGGTTTCCGCCAGAGACAGTCGACATGTCCCTGGGGCTGAGCTCCGGCTAGAGCCGGGGAGGGAGGGCCGCCCGCCCGCGCCGCAGCCCCGCCGCCTGCCCGCGGACCTTCAGCCAACCCCGGCCCGCGGCTCCTGGCTGAAATAGGAATCTTCGGCTCTGGACACGCCACTCCTTCCCCTTCCCTCAGTCGGAGAGCTCGGAGCGGACGCCGGCACTGGCCAGAGGAGCCCGAGCGGGGCAGCACCGCCCCTCACGCCGCCGCCGCCGCCTCCTTCTCCTCCTCCCCTCCCTCCCACTCCCACCCCCAGCCAAGGCCTGCTGACCGCGCGGAGCTGGACTGAACACGGCGGCCCGGAGACGGGAGAGGAAGCAGCCGGCCCGCCCCTGAGATCGCGCTCTCGCCGCCACTGAGGGGATTGAATTGAGGCGCCGCGGCTGCGGGAGGTGAAAAGGAAGGAGGAGCCGCCGCGGGACTGAGACTGGAGCAGAGCCGAATACACCGACACTGAAAGAAACGGGGAGGAGGATGTCTCACCGACCGGCCGGGCCCCGGATCAGCCTGTGACTCTTACAGCTGCGGGCCTCAGACCCCAGCGCGGACTCGGACTTTGTCTTTGGGGGACCGTGCTTTGCCCTCCCCAGTTTCCGGCAGGATCCCAGAGGAGCCGGCGTGCCTCTCTGCTCTCCAGCCTTCACCATGTCCAAGATGCCGGCCAAGAAGAAGAGCTGCTTTCAGATCACCAGTGTCACCACGGCCCAGGTGGCCACTAGCATCACGGAGGACACCGAAAGCTTGGACGACCCGGACGAGTCACGCACAGAGGACGTCTCCTCAGAGATTTTCGACGTCTCTCGGGCCACGGATTATGGCCCTGAGGAGGTCTGCGAGCGCAGCTCCTCTGAAGAGACGCTCAACAATGTTGGGGATGCAGAGACTCCTGGGACCGTCTCCCCAAATCTACTCCTCGATGGGCAGCTGGCGGCCGCAGCGGCTGCTCCCGCCAACGGAGGAGGAGCCGTTTCAGCCCGGAGCGTGGCTGGGGCGCTCGCCAGTACCCTGGCGGCGGCTGCCACCTCAGCCCCCGCCTCCGGAGCACCGGGCGGGGGCCCACCCGCCGGGCCAGGGACTGCAGCCCCGGCTCAGCCTCCGACGACTTGTAGTTCCCGTTTTCGCGTGATCAAGCTGGACCACGGGAGCGGGGAACCCTATCGACGCGGCCGATGGACGTGTATGGAATACTATGAGCGGGATTCAGACAGCAGCGTCCTAACTAGGTCCGGGGATTGCATTAGACACAGCAATACTTTTGACCAGACTGCAGAGCGGGACAGCGGCCTGGGCGCCACCGGAGGGTCGGTGGTGGTAGTGGTGGCCTCCATGCAGGGGGCGCACGGGCCCGACTCGGGAACTGACAGCTCCTTGACTGCTGTGTCACAGCTACCCCCGTCAGAGAAAATGAGCCAGCCCACTCCGGCCCAGCCGCAGAGTTTTAGCGTTGGGCAGCCACAGCCGCCGCCGCCCGTAGGTGGGGCTGTGGCTCAAAGCTCGGCTCCACTACCGCCGTTCTCGGGAGCCGCAGCCGGGCCTCAGCCAATGATGACAGCCGCGCAGCTAAGCCAGCCCCAGGGAACGGGGCCGGGTGGACAGGGTCTGCCGCCGACGAATGTAACCCTGGCGCAGCCGGCCATGTCCCTGCCTTCGCAGCAGGGCCTGACCGTCGGCGCTTCTGCAACGCAGCAGCCCCAGCAGTTCGCGTATCCCCAGCCGCAGATACCGCCGGGGCATTTGCTGCCCGTCCAGCCCTCCGGCCAAAGTGAGTATCTGCAGCAGCACGTGGCCGGCCTGCAGCCGCCAGGCGCCGCACAGCCCTCGTCCACGGGTGCCGGAGCGAGCCCTGCCTCGGCGGCCAGCCTTCCCGTGGGCACCGGCCAGAATGCCTCCTCAGCGGGCGCGCAGATAATGGGCGCGTCTTCCCTGCCCAGTGAAGCCGTAGCCCCGGGGCCAGGACCAGCGCAAGGCGGGCAGGCGGCGCCTTGTCAGCCGGCTGGAGTGCCCCCAGCTGCTGTGGGAGGCGTGGTGCAGCCTTGCATGGGTCCTACAGGGGCAGGGCAGCCCCAGTCCGTGCCTCCACCGCAGTTGGGTGGCAGTGGTCAGCTGTCAGCCGTACCTGGTGGCCCTCACGCCATGGTGCCCGGAGTTCCAAACGTGCCTGCAGCTGTGCCCGCTCCAAGCGTGCCTAGTGTGTCTACCACTTCTGTTACTATGCCAAATGTACCCGCGCCTCTGGCCCAGTCGCAGCAGCAGAGCAGCCATACACCAGTTAGCAGGAGCAGCAGCATAATCCAGCATGTTGGGCTGCCCTTAGCGCAAGGCACACACAGTGCACCAACAAGTCTACCACAGTCTGACCTAAGCCAGTTTCAGACTCAGACTCAGCCTTTAGTCGGGCAAGTTGACGATACTAGAAGAAAATCAGAACCCCTACCTCAACCACCACTCTCTCTCATTGCTGAAAATAAGCCTGTTGTGAAGCCTCCTGTTGCAGATGCCCTGGCAAACCCCCTTCAGTTAACACCTATGAACAGTCTGGCCACCTCCGTGTTCGGCATAGCTATTCCTGTTGATGGTGATGAAGACAGGTATGGAAATCTTTATTTTAAATATTTGTTAGAAATGCTTGGTCGACATTGTTGTTTAGGATGCAACTCTAGGGAGATTTCTTTTTTCAATTGAGGCCCTTAACACTTTTAAATATAAAACTTAGTTTGTGGATGGTAAAATTGATTTAGGTTGCTGATGTAAAAGTGTAATGAGAGAATTGGTCTTGTCACAATTGTTTAAAAGCACTAAAATGGTAGGGGTGCATTGTGTATTCAAAAGGTGAATTTTAGGTTAATCCTTATAATTTAAAGGTGGCATCTGGTATGTTACGCTTCCATAGGATTGTCCCTTTCTTAGATACTAATCACACTTGAACACTGAAGGGCAGAGAGTTTTATCAGTGTGAATTTTGAGGCTGAGACATAAAATTATTTACAAATTTTCCATTTTGGAAAACCAGAAGGACCTCTAGTGAAAAAAAGATCCACGTAAGGAATCTCCTCCAGTGTGTCTGCAAAGGCCGGAGAGATAATGGCGAAATATCAAATCCAGCTTTGAAGATCATGCTTAATTCAGCCTTTTAATAAAAGGGGATAGAAGGTCAGAGGCTTCCCAAGATACTACTTTTTTTTTTTCTTTTGATTAAGCAAAAAAATGTATTGGAAAGATGTTCTTACCTTCCACCAGCCGTCTTACTATAGGAAAGGGAGGTATGAGATTCTTTAACAGTAGTAAAAGCTGTAGTTCTTGAAATTAAGAATAACTTTACAGTAAAAATATACATGTCAATAATTGGCTCCCTGTATTTAGGGATCCTTTTTTTAGGATTTAAGTGAAAATTGGTGTTTTGCTACACCATTTCTACAACAGTTGATGTTATGGTTTGATGAGAAATTTTAGTGACTTTAAGGAAACGTCACATGGATATTTTATTTATATATATAGAAAGCGCAAATTTTTGAAAGCTGACGTGTTAATATGTTTTTAAATTACATTTAAAAATTACAGAAAAATTTTCAGGTATTTTACAGTTAGACATTTATTTGCAGTTAAACATTTGTTTTGAGAGTGGTTAATTTTAGGTGTTTTTAAAAGATCTAAATTGATTTTTTGGATTTCTAGAAAAATTGATATGTAGAAGAACACAGTGAGATAACTATGGTAAAGCTTTTTCTTTCTATGTTTCTTCTGAGTTCCTTCACATTTTTTTAACTTCCCATTTCTTGTATTTTTGTTATATATTTCTATTGGTTTGAAAGATGTTTACTGAAATTCATTTATCTTCAAAGTTCATCTTTTATTGTAGGTTACTTGTTTATGGGGAGTCTTTCTTCCACCTAAGAACACTTAGAGAATACCACGTGTCCATAAGTGAGCTCAGCTAGCCAGTCATTGAAAAATTTTTTATGGATAGGACTACCAAGTAAAGAAACTGATTACACAAGCCACTCAGAAAAATCCCTCTACTTTTATAGTTGCTCCCATTTTCACACATAGGGGCACACTTGAAATGCGGATTGAGTTTATTTTTTCACCTTTGGTAATAGTCAGCAGGCATCTTCCCTTTAGCTGCCAGAAGCCAATTTTCTTTTCTGATGAGTTGGTAAATAATCTTTTGCTTACCTCTCTCTTCCTATGCACTGCCCCATATCTCTTCAAGAAATGATGACTGGTTTCCCAA